TCAATGTCAATGAATGTAATATTGTATTCAAAATATTGCAGCAAAACACAAATAGAAACCACTTGCTAAATATAGTTAGATACAAATTTAAAAAGAGTATAATAAACATGCTCTGTATCTATAATTATACACCCAGAAAGCATAACTCTTCATCCTCATGAATTAAACGTGTAGCTGATCCCCACCAAAGTTGTGCTCCTCATCAAAATTGTTTATTTCATCCTCAATAGCATCATCTTCCTCACTAGAATTATTCTCTATTAACAATGGTGTAATTGGTGGTACAATGAAGTTACTACTTTATCACATGGTGCATAAAATGATGTCAAGACTGCATTGTAACATTGAATTGTTGCTCAACAACCTTCAACGTATTTTACATTCACCACATACAACCTTAGCATGCCCAAATTATTAGTATTTTTATTCCATATTCTAAAGCATATAACAAACATGGAAACCAATATCCTCATCCTCTTCCAACTTACATCTTTGGCACACTTCATAAATTTTTCTCTTCCCCTGAAGATAATTGATTTATCAAATTACCTAAAGCAAAATACAATTCCATAGAGGAAAAAAAAAGTAAATGAAGGAAAAAGATTTTTAATTATCACTAAACGAACACGTTCAATGACAAGAAAAATTGTGCATGAGGCTTCCAAAATCAATGGACCAACAATAGTATGCCATAGCTCAAAATTTTGTGTCTTCTTTGTCCCTACAGTAAATCAAGTTAAAATAGTGAAATTTACTATTCAGAGATCACAAGAAATATGAATCAAGAATCTTTACCATGAATCCATAAATTTTTCACTTTTATTTATATCCACTTAATATACAGTATACTACTCAAAGAAATCTATTCAAATATAAAATATTAGAGTAAGAAAACAGATACTAACCAGAATGATCCTACATTTCCTTTAACAGTCTCATCTTGTCATAGTAGAGTCCCAGTTTCAACTTTTCTTCAATAAGAGCCTATGTATCTTTGTTATTTCAACCCAAAAACACTCTGAAAGACCCATCTTTGCATCAACCAATCAATAAAAAATACAACATCTTTTTCTATTCAAAAATCACACAATTTATCAAATAGGCAAAACACTCTTGTTGAATGAAATGAAAAGGCAAATAAAGGAATTACATAGTTTATAGGAGGGACACAAAAATAAATAAATAAATAAATAAATAAAATAATAATAATAATAAAAAAAGGAGCCAAGACAAATATTGAAAAAATCTAGAAGCACAAGAGGAACTAATGATCTCCACACGAAATCATACTGGCAAAAATCAGAGAGAGTCAGATTGTATTAAATGAAGGAAATGAAAAATAGACAACCTTCTTGCATATGTAGGAGAGGCTAAATTCACTAGTGGTTACTTAACTTATGTTTAGTGTTACCATGGCCACCCAATTTGTGTTTCACGAGGTCCACTCAACTTTATATTTAATGTCACCATGAGGATCTAATTTGATTTTATTTCAACATGATCACCCAATTTCTTATAAAGTTTCACCATGATCACCCAAGTTCTTTTCATCACCTTCACAAATTTTAAAAAGAGATAAAATTGTAACTTTACATTATATATGTCAAATAAAATTTTAAAAAAATAAACATAAAAGTTTTTTTTTCAAACATTTTTCTAAAATAAGATTTTACAGTATTTTATTTTCTAAGTAACCTTTTTTCAAAACAAGTTTTTAGTTTATTTTGAAAACGGTTCTTTTAAATAAGTTTTTATTTTATTTTATTTTTTTAAGGAACTTTTCTTAAAATAACTTTTATTTATTCTATATTTCTAAGTAACATTTTTTAACTTTTTATTTAATTTTTTAAATCAGTTTTTATTTTATTTTAATTTTTTTTAAATGTTTTATTTTACTTTATCTTTTTAAGGAATATTTTTTTTAAATGTTTTTATTTTATTTTGAAAATATTTCTTCTAGAATAAGTTTTCATTTTATTTTATTAAGTAACCCTTTTAAAATAATTTTTTATTTTATTTTTCAAAAAAATTATTATATACTTTTTTAAAAATTATATTATATATATAATACAAATTTTCCGTTTCATCCCTTTTAATATGAGTGAAAATGGTTAAAATAAGTAGAGCGGTCCTCGTGAAATGTTATATGAACTTGGGTGATTGTAGTCAGACATTATGTGAAGGGTTAAATTCACTGAGGGCCATCTAACTTCATACCAACCAATTTGAATTTGTTTCACCATAGTCACTCAACTTTATATTTAGTGTTACCATGACCCAAATTTCATATAACGTTACACTATAACCCTCAATGTCATATAATATTTCACCATGATCGTCTAATTTCTTTTCACTAATTTTAAAAGGGGTTAAAATATTAACTTTGCATTAATACGTAAAATAAACTTTAATAAATAAAAATAAAAGCTTTTTATTTCAAAAACGTTTTTTAAAACAATTTTTTATTTTATTTTATTTTTCTAAATAATCTTTTATTATAACAATTTTTTATTTATTTGAAAATCAGTTTTATAAAATAACTTTCATTTTATTTTTTAAAAGAAACATTTTTTAAATTATATTTTTTGTTCATTTTCCTACATATTTCTTTTAAAATAAGATTTTATTTATTTTAAATTTTTTTTTATAGATTTTTATTTTATTTCAATAGATTTTTCCTACTATATAAAATGAAGAATGAGAAGTCACTGTAGATACACTACAGAAAAAGGACTGCACCAACCAACCCTTTAGCGACCATAAAAATGTTGTTGCTGCAATATACTTTCACCAACCATAGACTCGTCCGTTCAGGGTACTAAAATTGAAATATTTTTCGAAAACACTTGTTATCGTTTTTAGCAACCATCGAGGAAATCCCCCCAATGGTCACTGAACTTTGCAGAAAATCCCCTAGGAGGTCACTGAACTTCAATATGTTTCTAAATAGTCACTGAAATTTACCAAAGTCCCCCAAGAGGTCACCGAACTTCAAAACATCCCTAAATGGTCACTAAACTTTACTGAAGTCCCCCCAAGAGGTCACTCAATGTTGTAAATAGGGACCCCATACATAACTAGTTTAGTGACCTCCTAGGGACTTTTTGCAAAGTTCAGTGACCATTCAATGATGTTTTTAATTTCAGTGACCTCTTAGGGGATTTCGGCAAAGTTCAGTGACTATTTAGGGACATATTGAAGTTCGATGACCTCCTATGGGATTTTCTACAAAGTTCAGTGACTATTGGGGGGATTTCCTCGCAACCACAAAATGTTGGTCGCTGCATATTCAGCGACCAACTAGTGGTCACTGGTAGAATGTTGCAGCGACCAGATTAGTTTAGTCGCTAAAAAACTTGGCACAATTACTTCCTCTTATTTTTTCCATGTTTTTTAGATTCTTCAGCGACCAAAGAATGTGATTGCTGATTAATACAATGTTTCAGTGACCACAATATTTTTGCTGGTTGTATAAATTCAGCAACCCAATTTTATTTGGTCACTGGAACAATTGGCTCGATCATTCCCGCTTATTTTTTTCAACATTTTTACTTCTATACGACCAAATTTGTTGGTCCCTGATTAGTCCAAGGTTTCGGCGACCAAACATTGGTTGCTGGTGTATGCCTTTCAGCAACCGAAATTTGTTGGTTGCTGGAACACTTGGTGCCATCACTCTAGCTTATTCTTTTCAACGTTTTGACTTCTACGGCGAGCAAAATGTTTGGTTGCTAATTAGTACAAGGTTCTAGCGACCATATGTTGGTCGCTGGTGTATATCTTTCAGCTACCAAATTTATTGGTTGCTAGAATACTTGACGCCCCCATTCCCACTTATTTTTTCAACTTTTTCGACTTCTATAGTGACCAACTTTCGTGGTTGCTGAGTAGTATATGATTTTGGTGACCATAATTGACCATACTATATTCTATACTATGCTTGCTAGAACACTTTTTCTTATTTAAAGGATGGTGGTACCTTCGAAATTTTATTAATTTGCCCTTACTTGTGGCGAAGGATACCGTGGTTACATATGAAAATAATGAAAGCAGTAAATCAAGAAGACTACTTACCTTACATTAAGTAGAGAGGAATGACCACGAAATCATCATTTTCATCCAATTTTCTCAATAAAACCTATTAAAATGATGAATATACCCTCATATTTAATTAAAACAAAAAGAAAAGGAAAACAAAGAACTAATTGCAACCATAATCCTAACTTTTTTTTAAAAAGTGCAAACACGTCTCAAGTAAATTATTAAAAATTTAGAGAAAAAAAAATACTTTCTTTAACTTGTTGTCCTCCTCTTCCGTATGCCAATTCAACCAAATCGAACTCAAATGACATATTACTAAATTTGTGTAGTCATTCGAGAAGCCTCCACATGAACTAGATCGAAATTGAATGAAAATAATGATTTCCGCGATAAAAGGTGAAAATGAGAAAAAAAATAAATTGAAAGAAATGGATGTTTTGCATAATGAACTTCAAATACATGGATGTTTTGTGCTAATTACCTATAATTTATAGATGATAGCCAAATAATGACAAAAAAAAATTTTCAAGCTCATATGAAAAATTTATGCTTTTATTTTTCATATTATGAGACAAAAAAAAACTAATTAATTTGTGTTAATAGTAACGTGAACGGACTACTATAATTCAAAACCAAAATGATCTATCCGAAGTTTCACTATTGGTCATTTTCAACAAGAACACGACATCTCGATTACAAAGAAAAAAGAGAAATAGTAATACAACATGGAATGATGATGATGATGATGATGATGGCTAGAGACTAGAGTAGGCATTATTTTGAGGGCTATGGTTCCTCTTTATTTTCCTTTGAAAGAGAGGATGATAATTCAATTTCGAAATTTGATGTTGTAATCATGTTTATTTATTTAAGTTAAATGTTAAAGTTCAAAATTTTAAATGATGAAATAAAGAAAAATAATCTACAAATTCAGCCATATATTTATACCCAACCCAATATAACTCCCAATTAAAAAGTCTCCACTCAGCATCAAATCTCTCCTACCCTAACCCTCAAAGCTTCTATTTGTGCGTTCAAGCTGTGTCTACTTCTGCTCTACATCTTCTATTTTAGGTGGCCGGCCAAAATTGAAGTATGACGCCGTGTTTGAGCACGTGGGTTTTAAAAGAAGAGCAAAACATTCACTACTGGAGATGTTTTTAAGAATTGCATCCTTAAAATGGAGGAAAGGCAGAGAGTCAAGAGACATGTTTTTTCTCTAGACTCTGAGACTTCAATCGGCAATAATCTTCATTCTTCACCAAAAGAATTATCTCTATACCCTATACGACGATTCATATTTCCCATTAATCTCTTGCCAAAAATCTGAAGTACTCATTCATTTTTTCGTCAATCTTTTTTTGAGACTTGAATTAAATTTGCTAGGTTTTAAAAGTGGCCAAGCAGGCTATCGACCTAAATGTGGGGATTGAGGAAGCACGGGTAAATTTTTTGCCGAAGAAGTTAAAGGCAAAATCATATTTTGTTGTCCGTTGAGGTAATTTTGGCTTCATCTCTTTCTTGTATAGCAGTTTTTAGAACTTGAATAATTGATTTAATTGCTTCACGATTCACATATTCCTTATTGGATCCTGTAAATGGCAAGATTTGTTTATTCTGTTTATTTATCTGATTTCTTCTTATTAATTAATTGCTTTAGATGGAGATTGCTATTCCATAGGCACTATGCAAAAAAGTACAGAATAATGTAGTGATCAATGATCATATATAATATTCTTTGCACCTAAATACTTATTTATCATTTACAGGATCCAATAATTTTATTATAATGTACATTTTAAATCTCAGAGTTGGCCGAAGATCTTAAGTTTTTATACTCATTGGGTTTGGCTTATTCTAGAGGACTTGATCTATTGTTTTCTTTTCGATATCAATTTAATCTCAATTCTCTAGTGACTAATACCTATATGAAGCCATAATTTTACCCAAATCCTTTATCGCTTATCAAAAACTGCAATCATATAGTTAGCATCTTCCACTAAAATGAATTCATATGGATATAGAGTTATCCTTAGGAAGCTTAATTTTCTTAATTTATTTATAGTAAAATAAAGTTACATTGACATGTATGCATAAAAATATTTATCTTGTTGTTATAAAGCTATTTGTTCATACGAATGTAACTATTTGTAAATATCCTCCAGAGGATGACATTTGTTTTGCATAATTAGTTAATCAATTGATTAACAAGTCAATTGTTTTTCCTTTCTGATATGGTCTATTGACTATGGCAGGTCGTGAGGGAACTATACGAGATTGTTCCAACTCGCAAATGGAAAGACGGAGAAAACAGAATCAACAAAATAGAATTTATAGGTATGCATTCGTAACGGCTTATGCAATTTCCAAATTTTAAATGAATGCCAAACTTTAGATAGGTGTTTCTTGTGTGCAGGTGGATTGTTAATGAAGAGCTATCAACCTGGTCATATGATAAAAAAGGAAAGAGTAAACTATTATATTGGTTGTAATCTTATGTTTTTTCCCTCTTTACTAGGTTTAAGCAATCATGGATAAAAAAAAAATTAAAAAAAAATGAAAGATTAAACTATTGCATTGGTTGTTCTTATTTACCTTCATCCAAAATCGACAACTTTTTTCTTATAAAATTGTGCTATTAGTTTATCTCGATTTACATTTGATCTGGTCTTTGTTTTATTTTTTTTTATTTTCTTGGTTGTGAATGTGCTTGTTAGGATATGCTGATCTCTTATTGCTTGCCTGTGGATTTTGTTTGTGTATAGCATAACCTTATGACAAGGAAGATGCTTTTTGATGGAAAGCTAGGCATTGCTAGTGAGTAGGAGACTCACAAGGACTTTGATTTGTTTGTGATTGGAGCTGGCAGTGGTGAAGTTCGTTCCTCATAATTTCCTAGTCTATAACTCATTTTTCGTTTAGTTTATACACTGCTTGTACTAAAAGTCTAGGATACATTTGTAACTAAGATATGAAGGTGCATGACACATTTTGTGGTTAAATATAGGATATTTAAATTTATGTAATGACTATTAATAATTATTTTATGGGCAATTACAATTACCTTTCGTACTCGGTATTGTATATTGTGAATTTGTTTATTTTTGTTCTTTTCACTTTGCATTCTTTTTTATATTTATTAATTGAAAAATTATTAATGGGTTATGAAAACTAAATATTGGTTTGCTAATGTTGCATCTTTACCGACCGAAAATTGGTAGCTAAGATATAGATAATTTTTTTACTATGATTTTACCAACCAATATTTGGTCGCAAGAGAATACAAATTAACCAACTTCTTACCTCAAATCGAGCCCTTTATCACCATTGTGTGGTTGCTGATATGTGGTTTTTTTTTTTTTTTACCATTTCATTTATCAACCAACATTTTGTTGAAAAGGATGAAAGTTAACCAACTTGTTACCCCAAACCAAGCTTTTTTACCGACCATTTGGTGGTTGTTGAAGGTATATCATTCGGTGATCACTTCTTGTGGGTCACTAAAGATTTTCACTGACGGTGAATTAGAGACCATAGATTTTTAAGGACCTAAAAAGTAGCTTTACCGATCTTTATAGTATTTAGTTCCATTTTGTGTCACTGTAGCTGTGATTTTTTTACCCTTTCGAGGACACTGCACAAGTGAACAAGTATGAACTATAAGATTTGTCAGTATTTTATCAATTTGTGTCACGGTAGATATGGCTTCTCCCTTTTTCATTTTTTTGCTTTTGTCCTTTTGTAGAGGAAACTATATCGTTTCCCCTTCATTTGTGCAAAAATGGTGCCGTGTCAATATAGTCATTGTCTTCCTTTGTCCTTGATTTTCATTACGTCTTTACCAATCTCTCTATCTTGGAATTGCCTAAAAGTGCATATTTTCTTTGGCTTTTCACATTTTAGCTGAGGATTTTTGAAGCTGTTCTTTTGTTCTTGGTAAGCTCGACCTTCAGTTTTACAAGGTCAATATTTTTTAGTGTTCAGTATTTTGCCTCACGATATGGCTTTTGAAGGTGCATGCTCATATTTGTGTTATAAATTTTTGCTCTTTTCAACTAAGAGTTTATTTTTGTACTTGCTTTGTTTAAGTAATTTAAATTGTCATAAAATAATTGCAAGCAACCTTGGACTCCTACATCTGCATAGCTCCATATTCTTGAATATATATTTAATCGAGGGAATACAACTCCAAGCAAGTCAAAAATCACACAAATAGTCTCTGAATTATCATTGTATGGCCAAAGTTTTGAAATACACATTTATAATTGGTTTAAGAGTAGACGTGCTCGTTCAAAAAGGCTGCAATTGTCCACACAAGTACACATTTCTGAACTTGTAATTCAGTTGTAGGCACAAAAAGGACAAATTGCATAAAAAGTCTATAGGTATGATTTCTTATTGAAATAAATATGATTTTTTTTAATTCATTTCGTATTCTTTTTACTTTTTTTAACATAAAATTTGGTATTTTTGAAGTATCTACAAGTTCTACACTGCTACCACAAAGAACTAGGTGTTGTCCTGAGTTCACAATAGGTTTGCTCAAATTCTGTAATATTTTTAGTTTTTGTGTTTGTTTATTTATTATTCTGGTCGTGTTGTTTTACACTTTTTTTTAGGATTTCATTCATTGAAATTGTGTGTGAATCCAATTTGGGCAAACATGCTATCTTTCACCAATCTGATATTACTTTTGTATTTTTAGGTTGCATTGATCAGCCTGTTCAATTACAGAAAGATTTTCCTGCTGATGGAAGTTTTAGTGTGGAAAAGGAATATGAAAATGCCAATATGCAATCTCGATGTATACCAGATATTCCTATTACTTTACATCATTCTAAAAGAATTGATTAACAAAATATTCATGTTGAACATTATATTCTTCCATCTTGTACAATTTGTAAATATTGTGGTCCAAAAAAGTTTGACAAAGAAAGTAAGGGTTTTTGTTGTTGTGATAGAAAAATTAGATTACAACCAAATAGTGTTTCCCTTTAATTGTTTGAGTTATTTTCTTCTACGTCATGTGAGGCAATTGCTTTTTAAAAAGTTGCTCTTACTTATAACAACTACTTTGCGTTCACTTCATTTGGGGTTAAGAATGATAAAAGATTTTGTGAGAATAAATAAAAGATATATATACATTCAGAGTTTAGGGATATGTCTACCATTTTATAAATTCACTTGTACCAGTTGATGTGGAATCCTACATATTTATAGTTATACTTCTTTAACACTGATAATGAAATTACTAATAGATTAAAAAATTCAGACAAGTTATGTAAATCAACTTTGAGAAAGTTAATAGATATCTTAAAGATAAATCTATATAGTCATTTTTTTTTATCATTAAGTGGAGTTTTTGATTTTGACTCGTGTCATATTATACTTTGATGTGATCGAGATCTTGACCAAAAACTATACAATATCCATCATGTGAACAAGTGGCTATAGTTTGGGTTGATGAGGTTCATCTGCAAACGTTAGGACTCATGATATATTTATTTATGGACATTCAGATAATGCACATAAAGTACATTACTACTATGGTGGTTATGATCCATTTTAATGTCCATTAAAACATACCTGTGGAAAATTTGGACCACGTGAAGGTATCCAAAAAGTCAATTTGAATGCTTCTTCGATCAAAGTCCATGAAAATTTAATACAAGTTAGTAATGTTGATTTAGCCGAGCAACTTTTGGAAATGAAAGATCATGGTAAACTTTATCGTCAATAAAGTTGTCTTATTTTTTTAGAGTACAAAGTTGTATTACCATTTCCAAATTATTTGTTTGTAACTTTTTTCTTTATTTTTTGCTTCTAGTTTTGAAGAAAGGAAAGAAACGAATGATTGTATTGTGTCGTGAATTTTTATCGCTACAAACTTCAGATGAGGCCATCAGATAAGTATGTGCTTCTTCATACAGGCAGACTTTTACAGCAATAGATAGTATATATGCATGTTAAAATTGAAACGACAAGATTAGATTATTTTTGTAATAATCAAAAGGCAATAATAGATCAACTTTACCAAGGAATTGTAGACAGTATACAAAATGGTGATTATAAAGGCTACAAAATTGGTAAATCATTGGTGTTACCCGTAGGGTTTATTGGGAGTCCTAAAAATTTGACTAAAAGATATATGGATGCAATGTCTTTAGTTCAAAGATATGGAAAACCTGATATATTTTTAACAATGACATGCAATCAGAATTAAGACAAGTGATAAAATACGAAATAGACCAGATTTGTTAGTGCGAATTTTTCAAATGAAGCTTGAAGAACTAAAAACATATTTATTAAAGAGAGAAATTCAAAGGCCTGTAGCTGCATTTATTTATGTAATTGAATTCCAAAAAAAGAGGTATACCTCATGCTCATTTTCTTTTGATATTTAAACCAAAATTTAAGATTACTAACTCTATGCAAGTTGAAGAGATTTTTTTTTTATTTTTTTTATTATTTGTTTTTGTGAAATACCAAACCAAAAGAAAGATCCTTACCTGCATGCTACTATGGTCAAACATATGATGCATGATCTTTTTGGACAATTGAATCCTACAAATGTTTGCATGGAAAAAAAATTATACTTGTAAAATTAAATTACCAGAAGAATATGTTTTACATGCTACATTAGGTAATGATTCATACCCACTTTATAAGCGTTGTAACAATGATGTTAATGTTAAAGTTGGAGGACACATGCTAGACAATAAAATGGGTTGTACCATATAATTCTTATATTTTAATTAAATATGACTGTCACATTAATATAGAAATATGTTCTTCTATTAAAACTGTCAAATACTTATACAAATCTGTATACAAAGGACGTGATCGTGTTAATTTTACTATAAATGAAAAACAAATGAGCATTATATTGATGAGATTTTGAATTAGCGAACTACTAGATGGATATCTGCACTGAAAGCTATATGGAGAATTTTTAATTTTGATTTATTCGGTATATCTCCTGCTGTAGTTTCTTTACAGCTACATGTTAAAGATGCTCAATTGGTTACATCTAATGAAACTGATGAATTATCAAAATTATAAATAAAGACTCTATTCAACAAACAATATTAATTGAATTTTTTAAAATGAATATTTCAAATGAAAATGCACAGAATTTACTTTACAAAGATTTTCCTACATACTTTGTATGAAATACGTGTTTGTGAGTTTGAAGTCCCAGAAATGAGCAAAATGCTATTGGTAGAATAGTTTCTACTAATCCATGTGAGGGTAAGAGATACTTTTTAGGAGTTTTACTAATTCATATTAAAGGGCCAAAGTCTTTTCAAGATTTAAAAACAATTAATGGCATTGTTGCACCTATTTATGGCGAAGCACATCTTTACATGGTCTTCTAAGTAGAAATAATTATGGTGAGATGTGTTTGATTGAGCCAATTTCTTATCAAATGCCTATATCACTGCGTCGCCTCTTTGCTAATTTGTTGAATTTTTGTATCCCTACAAATCCAAGAAGTTTGTCTGTTAAATTTAAAGTGTATGATAGAAGATTATTTACATACAAGTCTAACACAACATGATGTTGAAATTAAAGCGTTACAGTGTACAAATTCGTTCTTAAAAGTTGTTGGTAAAAATGTAAATGATTTTGCTTGGTAGATTTTTATATTACTATAGACAATGATGATGTATTAGAAAACATGATTTTAGAAGAAACTACCAATATTAATGTTAAGTCCGACGTATATTGTACAGAGAGTTAAATAAAGAACAACAATTTGCTTATGATACCTTTTTAAATTGTGTTTTAGGTTAAAAAAGGGTTTTTTTTTATTGATGGTCTAGAAGGTACTGGTAAAACCTATTGTACAAGGCATTGCGTGTTACAGTACGATCTCGACAACTTATTAGGTTAGCAACATCATCGTCAGGAGTAGCTACTGCTTTATTGTCAACTAGCTGAATCTGGTCATTTATGATTTAAAATTCCACTTTGAACAAGTTCTAATATGTGATGTTCGGTAACTAAATAATCTACACTTGGTCAACTTTTAAAAATGACAAAGCTGATTGTGTGGGACAAAACACCAA